TCAGCCCAAAAAGTGGGCTGAAAAACTAGGCTTATACTCGAGTATATACAGTAGATGTCTCCCTGTAGACTCTGATATCATTTAAGAAACACATCTTATGTTAATTTGCTTTTTAGAAATTCTGGCTGTCCTACAGTTAATACATGTTTTAAAATGTCATATAATATGTTATTGCATATTTAAACATGCTATTTTTTTCTTTAAAATATATATTGTCATCTATTTTTATTTATACTATCAAATTCTTGTTTTAGAACTGTTTATCAAGAAATGGAAAAAGGAAGAATATCTGCAAGAGGTATATTATGATATTACTGGAGGTGGTGGAAGTTTGGATAGGGGACAATTTATGGTTAACATCCTAAACATCCATTGATTAATGTCTGATTTTATGGATGGCAACCAGGAGGATGTGATGTATAATCCCAGTTACATTAAAATGCATAATCCCATTTCTATGGTACTTCATGTATTTTGTATCAAGGATGCAAAAGAACTATATATTAAAAAAGAAAAATAAGAGCCATAGTTCCTTTCAAATGGCAACCTTTCACACGATTAAAAATAAACTATTAGTTTAGCATAAACTAGGGCTAAATTAGGTCTAGAATACCATTTGAATTGAGAAAAAAAAACAGTAAAATTTAATTCTGCTAATTTGGTAGCCTGTGATGCTTCAGTGATTAAATGCAATCCTCAGATGAAAAGCTGACAGCTCAGAATCAGGACTTGAGTACCGCAGCATGGGGTGAGCTCCCGTTAACTTGTTTCAGCTCCTCCTCACCTAGCAGTTTGAAAGCATGCAAAGAAAGTGGATAAATAGGTACCAGATTGGTGGGAAGGTAACAGTGTTGTGTGCCTGGACATACAGTCATGCTGCCCACATGACCACAGGCGTGTTCTTCAGACAATGCTGGCTCTCTTGGTTAAGAAACAAACATGAGCACTGCCCCCTAGAGACAGACATGACTGAACAGTAAAATCCTTTACTTTTACCTAGCTTGTTACATATTCGGTTGCTCTTCATGATAGCAAGAAAAAAAAATGGCTCCCCCCCACCAGTGTAGCTTTGCTGAGACTTAAAGTACAGCTACTGTTTAAGAAAAAGCCATTTATGACAGCTGCTTTCTCTTTTTAAGAGCTTTAACTGATTAATCCAATTAAATAGAAAGCTCTTTTAACTATTCTAAGACTTGGGATCTTATATAATTTTAAATTTAAGGAATCATTATGCTATACCTCTCCCACTATTTTATATCAAACTTATTTACTTTCTGTACTTCCCCCAACCCCCATATAATTCATGCTAAATATTTTAGAACAGTCCAAGTATGTTTTTAAAAACTGAAGAAAATCCAGATTGTCTTTCTGCAACAGAACATCTATTTTCTCATTGTTGTCATTCTATTGCAGTTATTTCTTAAGTACCGCCATGAGCTCTTGATTATTTTGGAAGAGTATGTCAGAAGAGGTAGAAAGAGAAATATTAAGGTTGATTACGTTCATGAAGGACTACAGCTAAACTATGAAGAGATGGATTCTCTGTTAAGAAGCAAATATTTGGAGGAGGCTGACAAAGTAAGCATTTTGGGGAAGTGCCAAATGTTTGTTAAAAGTACCGTATTTTTCAGAGTATAAGAAGCACTTCCCCCCACCCACCCCTAAAAGAGGCTGAAAATTTGGGTGCATCTTATACTCCAAATGTAGTTTTTTCGAAGCTTTTTTTCAGCCCTAATGAGGGGCTAACGAATGACGCATCTTCTGTGCTTTGCCTGCTTTTCTCATTGCTTCTCTCTCTGATGATCAGCTGTGC